ACTATCACCTCCTCAAGGGGGATTCTTGTTGCCTAGTGACAGAACCTTAGCAGAATTCTGTTCTGCAGCTATGGATAAATTTGTTAGGAGATCCAAACCCTACAGAACTATCAGGTGAATCAGATCCTTTAGATTTTATGCATATTAAGCAGTGTTTTGTTACATTGTTCTATTGACTCCACAATAATGTCAGTTTCCCTGTGTTTCAGTCATCTAGTGCTACTGTAACAAAGACCACAAATAAATGACTAACAAATTTATTCTCTCACATTTTAGGAAGCTAGAAACCCGAATTCAGGGTGACAACTCTAGGGGAAGGCTTTCTCTGTTGACTCACGTTTTAGGAAGAAAGTCTTAGATTCTTTTCAACACCTGTGGTTCCATCCTTCCTTGGAGATCTGTGTCTTGGCATCATTTGTCCCCAGGATCTAGGAGGTTCTCAGCACAGGGACCACAGGTACAAAGGATACGCTCTGTTCATGGCTCTTGTTACTGATGTCCCTTCTCTGCTTGCTCCTCTCTCCTTGTGTCTCTTGTGGGGTAAATGGTGATGCAGCCGCACCCCAGGAAGACCCTTATCCGGGCTGTGACCTGAGTAAGTGTGTTGAGCCCACCCTAATCCCCTTACATCTGATTGGTTGATCACATCATGGGAATAATTACACTGAAATTCATGGCCCATCCAAGTTTTGGGGGAATACAATTCAATCCATACTGTTCTACACTTTGATTGCCCAAAATTCATATCCTTGCCACATGCAAAACACATTCACCCCATCATAAATCATCCCAAAAGTCTTAAATTAACTCCAAGTCCAAATTCCATCTTGGGGATAAATTGCTCTTCATCCATGAATCTAAAATACAAGTTACTGGCTTCTAAAAGACTCTGATAGCCTCAAAAGGAGCTTTGATAGTATAGTGAATTACGAGTTGAGCTGCTAACTTCAAGGTCAGCAGTTCGAATGTACCAGCTGCTCCACGGGAGAAAGATGTGGCTTTCTGCTCCCATAAAGATTTACAGCCTCAGAAACCCTATACAGTTGAACTGACTACACGGCACATGTTAAGTGCCATCGAGTCACTAGCAACTTATAGCAACCTTATGCACAACGGAACGAAACACTGCCCAGTCCTGTGCCAACCTCACAATTGTTGCCACGCTTGAGCCCATTGATGCTGCCACTTGGCCAATCCATCTTGCTCCTTTTCTCTTGGTGGGATATGTTCAAGGTCATATTTTGGCTCTCATGAACTTGTTTTAATTTTCTTCAGCCTGAACTTACATATGAGCAATTGATGGTCTGTTCCATAGTCTGCCCCTGGCCTTGTTTGATGATATGGATGGAACTTTCCCCACCATCTCTCTCCACAGATGTAGTCAATTTGGTTTCTATGTATTCCATCTGGTGAGGCCCATGTGTATAGTCATCTTTTATATTGTTTGAAAAAGGTTATTTGCAATGAAATCATTGGTCTTAGGCTTAAAATATGCTTACTGTAGATCAAAGACCACAGTTTTCAGTATAGGTTGCACCTCAATGTAAAGAAAACAAAAATCCTTACCACTGGAGCAATAACATCATGATAAATGAAGAAAAGATTAAAATTGTCAAAGATTTCATTTTGCTTGGATCCACCATCAACACTTATGGATGCAGCCGTCAAGAAATCAAATGATAAGAAATCAAGAGCAAAGATGTCAGTTTGAGGACTAAGGTGTACCTGACATAAACCATGGTATTTTCAATAATCTCAATATGCATATGAGATTATTGATGATGATGTTACATATCCTTCTCCTTGTTGCTCTCTTGCTCCAGGTGAATAGAGACCAATTGTTGTTCCTTGGCTGCTTGCAAGCTTTCAAACCTCAGGCACTACCCAACAAATTAGGAAGTAAAACAGACACACTAAACTAATATTAGGCCAATAAACTGGGATGACCCATGAAACTATGACCCTAAACCTCCAAACCAAGGAATCAAATCCCATGAGATACTTGGTTGTATATTAGCAGCCTCATTTGGAAACATTTTGGTGTATATCTCTAAATAAAAGTTTTTGTTTTTTTAACAACAACAAAAAAAAAACACATGATGCCGTTATCCTAAATGGTACTTAAGTTTTAATTTTTTTTTTTTTAAGTTTTTATTGTGAATTGAGTGAACGTTTACAGGGTAGATAATCAGTTTTACATTCAACAAATCATTCATCTTGTTCTATTACCATGATTATAATCCCCTTCATGTACCATCAGATAACAGTGTTTCTCTCTATTCACTTTAGCTCTTTTTATTTTTTAAACACTCAGGCATATATAATAATTTACACCACCAAAGGACACATTCTTCACGTCTGCCTCCTAGCCACCAGCTGGCCACCAGCTGTTCATCCCTCTCTTCCCATGAATCTAGAGTCCTCAGCTGCTCCCTGTCTCCATGTCCCCATCTCTGCCTCCATTTCTGGTTTAAGTTTTAATTTAAGGTAAAAAAAAAATTTCTGGTAAGATTACTTCATAGCAGATGGTGTGTCCTTCCTATCATTTAGCTTTCATTGTAAGCCGCCCACTAACCAGCCCCTGGCATATGGTGACCCCATGCACAATAGGATGGGGCCATTGTGATCCACAGAGTTTTCACTGGATGAGTTTTGGAAATAGATAACCAAGCTGTTCTTCCTTGTTCCTCTTAGTCTGGTATCTCCGCTGAAACTTGTTAGCATCAATAGCAAGCCTTCACTGCATATGACATGTATTGCATGAGGTACACTGGCTGAGACAGAACTGTCTTTTCTGCCTGGAAAGCGAGAATTCTACCATTGCCCTCTGCATAACACTGTTGTTAAATGCAGTCGAGTCGGTTTTGACTCATAGTGACCCTGTATGGGGTTTCAGAGGAGGGGATGGTGAGTTTAAACTGCTGACCTTATAATCCAGTGCTTATCCTACAGTGCCACACCAAGACTCCACACTACTGTGAAGATCTTTGAGCCGGTTCCGAGGATTTTCGAGAGGCAACTGGTGAGTTTGAACTGCCGACCTTGTGGTTCACAGTCCAGTACTGAGACACATAATGCTATGGCACTAAGATTTTGACGCTTCTCTCCTGTGAGTAGTCTTAAAGCTGCAACACCAAACGCCTTAAGGTTACAGTTCAGCATCAGGAGACTCAGGAGCGTAGCTGCAGCAGTGCGCATGCGCACAGAGGAGCAGCACCCACTTCCCACCTCGGCTACCGTAGCTCGCCTTTCCATGTGGGCACTGTTGTCATGGCGGCTTTTCGAAAGCCGGTGTTGCTTGGTCTTCGGGACGCAGCAGTGCACGGCTGTCCCAAGGGACCCGGTGCCTGGACCGCTAGCAAGCTAGGCGGTGTCCCGGTGAGGGCTGGCATCCGGGTCAGGGTTGGCGGGGTCCTGGTGGGGTTGCCCGGGGCAAGGGAATGGGCGAAGTCCTGGGGCGGGGGCTGGGTCTGAGCGTTTCCCCAATCCTCAGGACGCTCTACCTGCTGTGGCAACTCCGAGGCCGGTGTGCGGACGCTGCGGACAGCTGCTCGCCCTGGCAGTTCAAGTGTACTGCCCACTGGAAGGCTCCCCCTTTCATCGGCTGCTGTATGTGTTTGCCTGCGCCCGCCCCAATTGCGAGAGCGGCGGCAGGTAGGCGTGGAGTCCCGAAGTGCTTTGTGGTTCCGGGAGCGGGAGGGGGTGCACCGGGGTGGGGCAGTGGGCTGCTGGCGGGAGGCTGGAGTCCTCACCGGCCTCTGTCGTCCCCCCTAAGCTGGAAGGTGTTCCGCTCCCAGTGCCTGCAGATCCGAGAGAAAGAGGCTCAAGATTCTCAGGTGAAGCATGTTATGTTTTGCTGTAATTTGAGGGTCTTTCCTGGAATGTCGTTTAAATACATAATTTTTTTAAGCCGTCGTCTTTGAAGTACGCTGGAGTGCTTTTTACTCGTCTCTAAATCATAAAATGCTGTTTTATAAAGGTTTTGTGAGTTACTGCTTGTCATCTCAACCAAACTACATAGCTTGCTTACTGATTTTTTTATTTGCTTGGAAAAAAAGTACTGCATACCTTTTGTGTTTATAATAAATATACTTACTGTGTCTATAACAAATATAATGCAATGAAATTTGAATTTGATTTATTGAAGTCACTGTCAATTCAATTTTCCTTTGCAAGTAAATGTTTATATATGTTGTCAACTGCCATTGAGTTGGTTGAGCCCCATAGTGACCCTGTATAGGGTTT